GAGCGCATAGAATGTTCTTGTCTCAGCAGTAGGGAATAATTGGCTATAGACTAAACATTGCCTTGGTTCTACCTAACACATCTTAAAAAGCAAGACCACCTCTCCCCACCAAAAAAAAAAAAAACCCAAAATTAAACTGTTTCCAAGTAACTGTGCCAGAACAGAACACAAAAAATATCCAGCACCCAACAAGGCAAAAATCACAATGTCTGGCATTCAATAAAAAATTACCTGGCATACAAAAAAGCAGGAAAATGAAACCCATAATGAGGAGAAAAATCAATCCATTTAAACTGATGCAGATGTTAAAATTAGCAAACAAGGACATTAACACACTTATAATTCTATTCCATATGCTGAAAAAGTTGTGCCATGCCATATATTAACAACATGCAAACTGAACTCAAGGTGAACATTACAATGTCTGAGTTTTAAAAATTCACTACATGACATTAACAATAGATTAGACTTAGCTGAAGGTATTGAAAATGTAGCACTAGAAATTATCCAAAATGAAACAAAGAGAGAGGAAAGAATTTTTTAAAAAATGAAAAAGGCCTCAGTGAGATGAAGGTTAACTTCAAATGGCCATGTACACATGTAACTGGAGTTACTGAAGGAGAAGAAAGAGGGCAGGGAGAAAAACGTATTTTAAATTATGATGGCTCCAAATTTTCCAAATGTGATGAAACTATAAACTCACAGATCCAAGAATCTCTATGAACTTCATGTACAACAAGTGAAAACATTACTCAAAACCACTAATAAGGAGAAAATCCTTATAGCAGCCAAATAAAAAATGGTATGTGTATATACAGGGGAACAACACAAGGAATAAAAGATTTCTCCTTGGAAACAAAACAGAGGAGCAACACCTTTAAATTATTATTTTTTTAATCTGTCAATTTAGAATTCTGTACCCAGCAATAGTAGTTTACAAAAGCAAATTTAGAAATAATCAATCACTAACAGACCTGAAATATAAGAAATAGTAAAAGACATCCTTCACGTAAAAGACAATGAAACCATATAAAAATATGAATGTATGTGAAAGAATAAAAAGCATTAAAATGGATAAATGCATCAGGAAATATATAAAATTATTTTTCTTGTTATTTAAATATCTTTGAAAGATATTTTACTATTTAAGGAAAAATTACAACAATGCATTATGGAACATATATATGAGTAAAGTGTATGACAATACAGCATGAAAGGTTGGGGAAGAAATAAAGTACATTATTATAAGGTTGCTATACTGTATATGAAGTTGTATAATAGCACTTGAGGGTACTTTGTGATCTGTTAAATGTGCATATATACACCCTAAAGTAACCACTACAATAACAAAAGAGAGGTATAGCTAATACATCAACAAAGGTGATCAAATGGAACCATAAAAACACTTAATCCAAAAGAAGATAAAAAAATAGAAGGGAACAAAAAAAGATGGGAGAACAGAAAAAAAAAAAACAGAGCAAGAGATGGTAAACTTAAACTTTACCACAATAATATCACATTAAATATAAATGGTCTAAACACCCCAATTTAAAGGTAACACTGTCAGATTAAATTTAAAAAAGAAGAAAAAAGATCCAACTATACACTGTCTATAAGAAACACATTTTAAATATAGTCACAAATAATGTAAAAGAATGGGAAATGGTAGACCATTCTAACAGTAGTCAGAAGGAAGATGGAGTAATGATATTAATATCAAACAAGTAGATTTTAGAGTAAACAATATCAAAGGGGTACAGATGACCATTTCAAAATGATAAAGAGATCAATTCATCAAGAGGATATAATGATTCTAAATGTTTATGCATTTAGTAACAGAGTTTCAAAATACATGAAGTGAAAACTGATAGAACTATAAGGAGAAATAGATAAATCTAAAATTATAGTCAGAGGTTTCAATATCACTCTCTCAATTATTGATACAATAAGAAGACAATCAGAAAGGTTTAGAAGACTTAATATAATCAACCAATTTGATCTACAATAATTGGCATTTATAAAACACACCATCCATAAATAAAAGAATAGACATTATTTTAAAGTAGACATGATACTATGATAGACCATATTCTGGTCCATAAACCAGTCTCAATAAATTTAAATTAAACTCATAAAAAGTATGTTTTCTGATATAATGGAATCAAATTAAAAATCAGTAACAGAGAGATATCTGAAAAATCCTCAAATATTTAGAAACTAAGTAACAGGTTTCTAAAGAATCCATAGGTCAAAGAAGAAAACAAACAAACAAAAAATTAGGAAGTATTTTGAATAGAATAAAAAATGAAACTACAATTTATTAAAATCTGTAGGCAGCCACAAAAGCACTAGTTAGAGGGAATTCCTATATTACAAGAAAAATCTCAAATCAATAACCTCAGCTACCACCTTAAAAATCCAGAAAAAAAGAGGAGCAAACAAAATCCTAAGTAAGCCAAAGAAAGGGAATAGCAAAGATCGGAATAGAAATTAATGAAATAGAAAATAATGCCGAAAACAGATGAAACCAAAGCTGATTCTTTGAGGATATAAATATATAACACAGGTTGATCAGAAAAAGAGAGATGAGAGAAATTATCAATATCAAGAATGAGAATGATAGCACTATAAATTCTATAATAGAACATTATGAATAACTTTTTGCCAGTAAATTTTATAACTTATATGAAATGGACACATTCCTTGAAACCCAAAAGCTACCAAAGATCAGTCAAGAAGCAACAGATAACTAAAATAGCCCTATGTCTATTAGAGAATTAAATTAGTAGTTAAAACCTTCTTATAAGAAAAGCTCCAAGCCCTAATTACAGATGGTTCCCAATTTAGGATGGTTCGATTTACAATTTTTCAACTTTACAACAGAGCTTGAAAGTAATATGCACAATAAATTACATGAGATACTCAATATTTTATTATAAAACATGCTTTGTGTTAGACGATTTTGCCCAAGTGTAGGCTAACGTAAGTGTTCTGAGCACATTTAAGGTAGGCTGGGCTAAGCTAAGACATTCAGTAGATTAGGTGTATAAAAATGCATTTTCAGCTTAGGATATTTTCAACCTATGATCCATTGTAAGTCAATGAGCATCTGTACTTCGCTGGTGAATTCCATCAAACAACTAAGGAAGAAATACTACTAATTCTAACCAAACTCTTTCAGAAAACTGAAAAAGAGGAAGTATTTTGCAATTCATTTTGTGAGACCAGAAATATTCTGATAGCTAAACAGAAAAACAGCATTACAAGAAAACAACAGAACATCATCTTTCATGAACCCAGATGAAAAAATTTTTAACAAAAATTTAACACACCAACTCCAACAATATATAAAAAAAGATAACGCATGATGACCACGTGGAATTTATTTATTCCAGGAATGTACGTTTGCGTCATCATCTGAAAATCCATCAATGTAATTTACCATACTAACAAACTAAGAAATATAAACCATACGATCATTTCAATGGACACATAGAAAATTCAAGAAACATTACTAATGAAAACAAAACAAAACAAACACCTCTCAGCAAACCAGCATTCAGTCTTTCACTTTTAAGTATGATGTTACATAAAGAATGAACATTGTGCTGGGCATAAGAGACCTGGTTGTAAAGCCTCACTCGACCATGCACTGGTTGTGGGAATTTGGAACAGTCACGTACCTCTCTGAGATTCACTTATTTGAGTATGAAACAAGGTCGGTAATCATTCAGAGGGTGATATTAGCAAAATGATGGCATAGGGATTTCTAATATTCATCCCCACCCCCACCCCTTCCAACCATCCCATCATGCTTCAGAAAAATCAATCTGAACCACTATCTGTGCCAAAAAATACCTTCACAAGATCTAAGGTTTCTCAGTGAAGGGTTATAGCACCTGGATAAAGTGCAAAAATAGGAAAAGATACATTGAGGAGGGTAGGAAAGATAGATACACATTATTCCCATAACCCCACTCCCAAACCTAGGCAGCCCAGTGCAAAGAGAGAAACGCCCCCCTGGGGAAGGAGACAGAAGTGAGCACCCAACTTTATTGCAGACCCCAGAGCAGCCCCACCCCAGCGCTAGCCAACTCCCATGGCTGTAGGTGGCTCCTACATGGTGCAGGCTCCTGGGAGCCTAGCCCCAGCTCACTCCAGTTCTTGGGACCCAGTAGCTCTTGAAGCCCCCATAGCTTCCATGGCACCAGGCTCCCAGTGGGTTCCCTCGAATTCAGGCCCCTAAGCCACTCTTGCCCTACCAGCTCCCACAGCCCCAGTTGGCCCCTGTGGCCCAGTCTCCCAATCAGCCCCAGTAAACTCAGGCTCCTGGCTGGGCCTAGTACCATGCTGACTACCACAGATCCAAGCTTTTAACCCACCCCAGTACCAGGCCTGTCCCCATGGCTCCAACCTCAAGGCTGGCTCCCAGGGACCCAGGCTCCCACCCTACCCTAGAGCCAGACCTGCCCTGGCAGACCCAACCCCCAGGACGACATAGCTTCTCGGCTGTGTCAGACATTTAAGAACTCAGAGAGTATTCTGAATTACAACCAAACGCAGCCCTCTTAAGAGCCTCCTTCTCATCGTCTCCTGCGTGCCTGAATCATTTCCAAATCCCTCTTCCCCAGCACTAAAAACAACCATCTCAGTGCATCTCACTAAAAAAAGGCAGTTCCTTGAATTTCTTTATCTCCGTCCCAGTGATACTATATTTACAGAAAAAGTCAAATACTCTTCTGAGTTCACTAACCCTTTGATATATGACTTTGAGGCTCCAACTCAGAGAATCAGTGCTTCTTTCTAACTACAATTTACTGTCTTTCCCCGCTGAAAATAGCACACAGGTGTGGACGCCAGGCAACAAACACTAAACAATGAAACCTCCCAATGCCTTCCCAGGTCAGGTGACACCACGTCCCAAAAGGCATTAGAAAATCCGTTTCCCTCCTCAGTCACACTATCCCAATATAAGGGGAAGCCACGGGCTTCCTACGTACCTGTGTAGAGGTCCGTATCTGTGTATTCATCCACTTTCTTGTGCTGCAGAATATAGTCAGAGACCTTGGTCCCAATAGCTGGCTGAACATCCACCCACTCCAAGGAGACGACAGTGCTGGAGGGCTCCACTGTTGGGGACAGACGTAGCCTGGAGGGGGTGACAGGGAAGGTGGTTTGGTTGACAGCCAGCATTGGCTATCCACCACCAACCCCCCCCAAAAAAAAAATGTCTGCAAAAATGGATCAATGTGCAATCCAATAAATTAATCCAAGCACACAATACGCGCTCACCAGAAGTTGATTAGCTTTCCATTTGTTTAAGCTGTGTTGTCAGTGATGCCACCTTGTCAATTCAATAGACAGTGCCATCGAACACAGTCCCTGTCAACCTCTCTGTCATTCTCTACAATCCCCCAGTTCCCTGACGCATCAGTCAACTCTTTAACATCCTTAAATCAACACGCCCTCACAGAGGGCAGGGATCCTGGGGAATCACGTTATAAAGCAAAAACATAACAGAATGATTGATGGTCAGAAGTGGAAGGGTCCTTAGACAGAGGAAAGCACAGTCTCCCCCTTTGACAGATGGGGAAAGCGAGGCCCAGAAAGGGAAATGATTTGCACAAAGTCACACAGCTCGTTGGGGACAGAGCCGTGACGGGTGGTGCCTTTGCTTGTCCCCAGCCCAGTTTCTTTCTGTCCTTCGGCTACACCGCACTATCTCTTTCAGGACTGCCTGACCACTGGCCTCTTCCCACCTCCCAAAGGGCTGTGAGGGGGCTCTGGTTTCCCAGTATTGGCTTCTGCCTAGCTCTCCTCTGCTCCTGACACCACTCTCCCTCTTACCCACACTCCTCCACTCAAGATGGCCTTCCTTTACTTCCTGAAATGGCGGATTTCCTGCGGCAGGGCTTTCACACAGGCTCTCCCTTTTCCTGAAACCTGATCGACTCTACTCCAGGGTTCTTCCCACAGGCGCTTCCCTGACTCGCTCCTCCCTTCTAACTAAAGCATCTCCACATCCTTCTCTCCATTAGAACTTCGGTTTTTCTTTCACATTTTTGTGACTGAAGTTTTCAAAACTGTCTCTTACCTTCCTGGTTTTTGTTTTGACATCTGCTCCCCTCACTGAGCGGTCAGGTCCCTAAGTGCACAGACTGCGCCTGTCTTATTCACGGATGACACACAGCAGGTGTTCAAACATGACTTGTTGAATGAATGAATAAAATGAAGTTCCTTAGAAAAGGTTCTACACTGCCTTTAGCTCAGTAGCCGCAGCACCCAACCCAGGAACTGACAAAGCAGGAGTGAGTGAGTGCCCAGTAAACCTGTGCTGAATGGACGAGTGAAGGAAGTAATGATGGACCAAGTGCCATCATGAAAATAGCACACACACTGCAATTTCAATGTCTACCCCTGAGCCAGTTTCTGTTCTGCCAAAGCTCCCTGCTTTCTCAAAGAAGGAGGCAGGCCCCAGAGACCCCGGAGAGCTCATGAGGCACCCTGGAACAGAAGCAAGTCCTGGCCTGGACTGCCAGGACAAGCGCGAGTCCATGAAAGGGGTGGCCATACATACGTACACCGGCTGTGGGAGGGGGCTGCAGTTGGGGAGCCCACTGGCATCAAAGGCGCTGAGGTCACACCTGCACCAGTCATCGATCACGTCCCCTTTCCCTGAGCACCAGTAGGAGCTCATCAGCGCACTCCTGAAGGCCTGGAATAAAGGACAGAAGAAATAATGATGTCAGTGGTGGAGAGGTTGAAAGTGAAGATGCCAGCGGCCATGATAGCAGCCAACCAACACTTAAGAGCAGCCCTCCTCAGCACAGGACACCATCTGGTGCCCAAACCCCTGGCCCTCTACCACCAGGTTCTCCCATTCTGAGCCATTCTCCAACCCAGCAGCCAGGGTGATCATTGAGACAGGATAGTAACCACATCCATTAAGAACCACCTCTGGGCCTGGCACTGGACGGACCGTATTCCATCTTCACCACCACGCACAATAGATATGTATTATTCTAATCATCCTTACTATCATTCCCCATTCTACAAGTTGGAAGGCTGAGGCACATGGGAGGCTAGTAACTTACCTGAGGGTCAAAGCTAGTAAGTGAAGGAGCTGGGATCCGACCCAAGGCGGTCTGTTCCAGGCTGCCTTCTAAACAGCTCGCTACACTGTTTTACATAGAAGTCTGACCATCTCACCTCCCTGCTTAGAAACTTCAGAGGCTCCCCACGGCCCTCAGGATAAAGTCTAAACTTGCTCTAGCTTCCGACCACCTCCCCAGGCTCATCTCTCCTCACTCCTCTGCCTTTCCTCTGCATGCTACCGTCCACCTTCCTGCAGCCACCACCACTTCCACCAACAGTGAATCCCCGCTTACGTCAAGTGCACGCTAAGTCGGGAGACAGCAAATTGCTTCTGCAAAGGGCTTGGTGGCTAGGTGGTCTCTTCCGCAGTTACTTCATTCTGCCTTTGTAGCGTGAAAGCCATGTAAGCAATATTTTCAATAAATGGGCATGACTGTGTTCCGAGGAAACTCTATTTACAAAGACAGCAGCAGGCTAAATGTGGCCTGTGTGTCATAGCTGACTGACCCTTGTTCTAAATGATGATCAGTGTTCTATTTAATTGCAGTGTGCTTCACAGCCTGTTTATTTTTAGTGTTCTTTTCTCTCTGCTGGAATCCCCTTCCTCACTGCCTCCTCCCAACCACGTGCGTGCGGGAGCACATACACACACACACACACACACACACACACACATCTCCCTTGTACTCCAATTCATTCTCTTGGTCTCAAATGAAACATCCCTTCCTCTGTGAACGCTACCTTGACTCTCTTCAGCCTGGGACCCCACTCCTCTTCTGGACATCATAATACACTAGGCCACACCTGCCATCACATTCCCTTGTCTGTCTCACCCAACACAGTCCGGTCCCACCAAGGGCACAAGCCATGCCTTATTCAGATTAGTGTTCTCATGGGACTGACCACAGTTATTCAATCAACATTCACTGAATGAATGAACGGACATTGAAACACGGAGCAGCAGGCTCAGGCTCAGCTGTGCTTCATGCTTTTGTCCCTCCGTTCACACTGACATTTCAGGGCACTGGGGACTCAGAATGTCTGGCAGCTCTTTTTAAAACTCAGGGCTTCCAGGGAATGTTGTTCTCATACACCTTTGACAGGTAACAGTCTCGGTGTACTTTCTTTCTTTTTCATTTTCCTTTTTTCTTTTTTTGTTTTTTACTTTACTTTGTCGGACCTTTTTAAATAAAAGCTTCATACATCCTCTAACCAAGGACATCTGGTCACCCAGGTACCACTCCTCCCATCTTGCATTGTTCCAAAGACTCAAGTACAGAATGTTTGTATAAAGCGGGTCTGGGGTCTGCCTCCTTAGCTAGCCAGGACACAGATCTAGAAGAAGGTGTGTACAGGGATGCTATGGTGTAAGCCTCCGTCATATTTCTCCCACTGCCCCTGAAGAGGAGGCTGCAATTATTTCTGCTGTATGTTCTCAGCCATATCCTTTCCTAGGGTATGAACAAATTGTCTAACTTCTGAATTAAGAGTAGCGACCCAAAGAAATAACAAAGCATTATCATAAAAGCGAACGTTCATGAAGCACCTAATTACATAGTATAAGGTTCTTTAAGGGCATCAAAAAAATGTAATCCTCACAACAGTCCTGAGATAGAGATATTACGATCCTCATTTACAGGTAAGAGAACTAGGAATCAGAGCCACGGAGCAATGTCCCCAAGGTCACACAGCAAGTAGATGGTGGAAGTAGAACCCCAACACAGATCTCTGTAACTCCCAGGCTCAGATCTTTTCTATTTAACCAGGCAGAGCAGAGGAGGAACCCCAAGTAGGGAAGCCAGGCCTGGTAAATAAAGATAGGATGCCCCGCTAAATTTGAATTTCAGATAAACAGCACCACTTTTATTTTAGTATAAATATATCCCACTCAATGTTCGCATATAAAGTATGTGAGCCAGGGTCTGGCACATAGTAATGACACTATTCCTACCTCAAGTCAGAATCAATGCTGGGAAGAAATATCTGTTCTTCTACCAGCATCAGAGGGGGCGCTCTCATGAGGACAGAAACCAGATGGGGCGGCATGAAGTCATGCTGACGGACAGACCTTCTTCTCCCTCCATTTGCAGGTTCCCCCTTCCTGAAATTAACGTGCACAACTGCTCAGGGCTCAAGATTCCGTAACATCCCCAGACAGCACTAAAGGCCTAATTACCATAATGGTGAAATCCAAGGCCATGGGTGAAAGTGACACAGATGGTGAGAGATTGCCTTGGACTCCAGCATGGGGAGGACAGAGAACATTCTGTTTTGTTTGTGTATGCGTGTGTGCGTGCGTGTGTGTGTGTGTGTGTGAGTGTGTGTGTGTGTGTGAGTGTGTGTGTGTGTGTGTGTGTGTGTGAGCCCAAGTGCACGCGCACACGTGTTGTAATCAATAGTTGCTTGAGTTTGTGGAAAACAAAACAGAGAACCTTTCAGGACTTTGTGAGTTTCACCATCCAAGCAGCTCTTGGGAAGAAATCCTGTCTGTGAGTCTCCACATCCACTGGCTCTTTCCCAAACCCCAAGGAAAAGAATGGGGACTGGTGCCCTGGCCAGACAAACCCTGAAGAGAGCACAAACTTGCAGTGATGGAAGGCCCGCATCAAAAAGGGAGCCCTAGCAAGGCAGCAGAGGCCTGCGTTTGTCATTGCAGGGTCACTCTTTCCTTATGTCTTGGGTCCTTGCAACACTCCATCCGAATCCAATTAGATTTCAGGGGAGGAGAATCATAGAATGTTCCAGCTTCAAGGGACTCTGTAAATTATCTAATCTAATTCATTTTTACAGATGCAGATACAGTGGCTCAGAAAGTCTACCTGGCTGGTCCAAGGTGATAGAGCAACTTTGCGATGAAATTACTCTATTCCTCCATTTAATCCTCAAAATTATCTTTCATGATGGGTGTCGGATGCCCATTCACTGATGAGCACGGAGAAGTAGGAACTTGAACTGAAGTCCATCTGAATCCTGGCACCTTTGACTTTCCCAGGTCGCACGGGAACAATAAATGCCAAGATTTCATCCAAAACATCCTTTTCAGCTGCTCGGATTGAATCACGTGCTTATGTGTTGTTTGTGTGTGTGTCTGTGTGTGCTCTCAGAGGGAAATGAAACCTTACACTGGAAGCATTGTTGACTTCTGGCTTTTAAGTAAGTGAAGGGACTTAAGAAACAAACCCTGTACTTATTACAAGGGCGAAGGGCCACATTTGCATGGCCACTGGTTTTCATAACAAAGGTTTGCATTTCCACGACTTGTAAATGCTTCCAACTTCGGGTTAATTAGCTAGCAGACCAGACTGGGCAGGAGGAGAAAACAGCCACAAAAATGTGAAGCAATCCAACTAGGATTTATTTTTTGCACTATCGTTACTTTCATATTTGACCTTGCATAAGTTATCCCTCTCTGTAAGCCTCGATTTCTCCATCTGCAAAGTAAGGGCACAGATGATATATTTTTGAAGGTTTAATTAAGCTCAGTAAACATTTGTTCCAAACCATGTGCTGTCTCGATGCTAAGGAAGGAGATGGATAAGACCCAGTGCTGACTTCAAAGGACTCATGGTTTAGTGGTGAACACAAACACAACTCCAATTCACATGGTTCAAGGGCTATGAAGTAATACACGCAGGAGGCTGGACGGATACAAAGCAAGGGGCCCTTCCAGCACGAAAAATTTTGACAACGTCTTAGGAATCTTAAACTTTGAGTAAACTCTCAGTATTGGATTAAGATACTTGGGGCCATCTGTATAGGATGTCGCTAAGCCCATGAATTAAATTCCATACTCTATACCTACAATAACTGGATTTTTTACACTAAAAGTTTTACTCAGGGGCTGACATGTAATCTGCCATTTTTGAGACTGAGATGGTTCTGGTCTGTATGACCAAAACGATGGCCTGAAGTCCTCACTCAAAGCTCAATGGATTTTGCTATCTCCACAGGTACTGGTCTTATGGACGCCCAACCCACAGCATTTGAAGGGGGAAAGGCCTTCTAGAGACATAAATAATTATTATCTTTTTACCCCCTGGCTCCCTTTCAGTGCCTAATACAATCCTAGCAAGTAGAATAAAAGTCAATATTTATTGAATTGAATTAAATGGAATGCTGAGTGAAACAAACTGATAAATGATAAAAGCAAAGCAAGTGTGTGTGTGTGTGTGTGTTCCTCTTCTTCCCCAAGATTACCTGGATCTCCCCTGTCATTGAACAGCAGCCTCCCCCATCAATTTGGTTCCTCCAGCCCAAAACTGGGGGTCAACCTGAGCTCCTCCTTTGACCTCACAACATGTCTAAAAACCAACTTCTCCTTTCTGGTCCCACTGTCACCTTCCTGGTGCAGGTTAGTAATGCCTCTTCTCCAGGCAGTTGTCACTAGGCGGAGGCCTCTGGACTGGCCTTCAGCTCCAATATCACCTTTTCCAGCACATCCTCCTCCAGCTTTCTAAAACATCATTGCTTATTCCACCCCCTCGCTCAGGTCCTGTCAAAATTCTCATCGCCTTCTGGTTGATACCTCTGATTCCTCATTTGACTTACAAAGTCCTTTGCTGCTCAGCCTGTGGCTCAGTCCCGTCTCCTCTCCACTGCCCCCACCCTATGATCCAGCAC